CCACGGCTGGGCAAAGCTTATTTTCTTTTCTTCTTCTTGGAAGAAAGTTTTGAGCACAGAATTGTTATAATGTACTCGAAGAAAGATGTCCCTTTGGGAGAGTAGCAAAGGCTACAGGCTGGGGACACCGTGAGCTTCTCTGAATAGGTTTACTTATCTGGAAAGAACTGTAGTTTGAGCACAAGCTGGAATGTGAGTGTGGGCACATCAGAATGGAATGTTGAAACCAGGCTTATTCCAGAAAATGATCGGAGGAATTAATGATGAGGGATAAGTGAGTAATGAGGATCCCATTAGTTAAAGACTTTAAGTTCTATCCATAGGAGTTAAAAATTTACATGAAAGACACTTGGGAACTGTGTGGTTTTGAAAATGGAAGATTTTTTTTTCCTCTTCTCTCTAAATTGCAGTGTGTGGGCACACTTTTTCTCCACACCCATGAGAAAAAATAACCCATCCAACACAGAAATACCAGATCTAAAATGCTTCGAGGAGTCACTTAATTTAAACCCAGCCCTTCTCTGTGTTGCTTCTTTGAGGCAAGGTGCCTGGAACATAACTGCAAATTCAGAATTAGAATGGGTGGAAAGAATAAAAAATGGTAAGATGTCCTAAAGCACCAAGTCCCTGTGTATGTTCACCTGACAAAACCACTTTTAGGGTCAGAGGAAAGCGACTATGACATGTGCAGGCAGGGGAAGGACAGCATCATCATGGAGACCAGGACAGACTTATCCCATGCTCCCAGGCTAGGGATTCTTGGAAGCAGAACAGTAGTGAAACCAACTTCCAACCACTCATTCATGACACAGAATCAACTATTGCTGTTCTCCTCACCCTCCTGCTGCTGTTTGTCATCATTTCATTGTTTTTATCTTATGCACTAGTTTTATACTTTATTAACTAAACAACACAAGTCAGTGAATTCTTTCTGCAAGTTGACTTAAGGCCTGCTTTCTCTGTTGTCTAAGACAAGTGGTCAATGCCCTCACAATGATTAAATGCAGAAGATAATTCTCAATCCTTTTTTTTCTTTTAGTATTTGACACTACAAAGACCTACACATTTGGTTCCTGATTCTCCCCCAGTTCCTCTCATACTTTTTAAACTGCTCTTTCTTGTGTTCTTTCCATAGGTCTTCTTTTTTATTTGTTTCAATTGTGTTATTAGACCTTAATTCAGTGGTTCTCAACCTTCCTAATGCCGCTACCCTTTAATATAGTTCCTCATGTTGTGGTGACCCCCAATTTCATTGTTACAAATTGAACATAATTAAAGCATAGTGATTAATCACAAAAACAATATGTAATTATATATGTGTTTTCCGATGGTCTTAGGCGACCCCTGTGAAAGGGTTGTTCGACCCCCAAAGGGGTCGCGACCCACAGGTTGAGAACCGCTGCTTTAATTGTTAGAGCAGTTTTAGGTTCACAGCAAAATTAAGCAAAAGGTACAAAGATTTCCCATATTCTCCCTGCCTCCACATGTGCCCTGACCAGTAATCAAACTGGAGACCTCTTGGTGCTTGGAACAATGCTCAACCAACTGAGCCACATGGGCCAGGGCTCAATGTTGTTTTAATTTGCATTTTCCTGATGACATAGGAGCATCTTTTCATGTGCTTATTCGACATATTCTTTGATAAGGTGTCTGTTAAGATCTTTGACCCATTATTTAATCAGATTGGTTTGTTTCCTTATTGTAGAGTTTTAAGAGTTCTTTGTAGCCCTGCCTGGTAGGGATCAGTTGTGGGGTCATCCCATTCTCTCTCTCTCTCTCTCTCTCTCTCTCTCTCTCTCTCTCCTAAAAATCAATAAAAACATCCTCAGGTGAGGATTTTAAAATAAATAAATTTTTTTAAAGTTATCAACAAACCCAAGGTCACCTAGATTTTCTCCTCTGTTATCTTCTAGGATTTTTATATAGGATTTTTTTTAGTTCTGGATCTGTGATCCATGTTGAGTTTAGTTTTGTGAAGTGCGTAAGGACTGTGTCTAAATTGTCCTCCCCCCCCCCCCCCGCCCCCGGACCATTGGGCTTTTTCCTACCTCTTACTGCATTTATTTCCTTAGATTTATCTCTAGATAAATATTTTCTTTTATCCTGATTGCTCTCATTTATTCACTCTCCTGTCTTCTAGAAAAGTCCTCAAATACCAGTCCATGGACTAGCAGCATCAGAATCAGTCAGGGTGTTTATTAGAAATACAGCTTTATTGCCGAAGCCGGTTTGGCTCAGTGGATAGAGCGTCGGCCTGTGGACTGAGAGGTCCCGGGTTCGATTCCGGTCAAGGGCATGTACCTGGGTTTCGGGCACATCCCCGGTGGGGGATGTGCAGGAGGCAGCTGATCGATGTTTCTCTCTCATCGATGTTTCTAACTCTATCTCTCTCCCTTTCTCTCTGTGAAAAATCAATAAAATATATTTAAAAAAAAAAGAAATACAGCTTTATAGGTGCCCCCACGATTGAAACTTCTGGGACTCAGAATTTTAACATAATTTTAAGCAGGGAATCATATTTAAGTATTGTAGGCGATTCTGAGGAGCAGAAAACCTTGGTGATCACTGTTCTAGGAGATGCTGATGATATTCACACTTATTTCTTTAGTCAATCCTAAGGGTTTCCTAAGCCCCAACATAAAGACACACTCTTATCCTTGACCTTGAACAAGCCACTGTTACAGGACTAAAGGGGACTATAAGGGTCCACTTGCTGCATGCACAAAGCCCAATAAGACACGAACAGGAATTTGCAGACAAGAAAGTAAGGATTTGCAGAATCGAAGATGGCGGCATAGGTAAACACCGGAGATTGCCGCCGTAAACAACCACTTCAAAAATACAACTAAAAGTCGGAACGGACATCAACCAGAACCACAGGAAGGCTGGCTGAGGAGAGACTCTTCAACTAGAAGCAAAAACAACAGCATTCCGACGCTCAGAGGAGGCGTAGTGTGGAAAATTTAAAGGTACGGTGGTGCGGTGGTGAGGTGGTGCGCGCGCAAAGCGGGCTGGCGGCTGAGGGCGCGGTTGTCGTTTTCAATCAGGAGTGAGTCTCAGACTCTGGGCTACAGATCCGGGCGAGTCTCTAGGGACCCAGACTCAAACGGGAGAAGCGGGACTGTCTGGCTACGGCCCCTCCGAGGTTTGCAGCGGTTGCTGGGACAGAGAGGCAGAGCCCCTGGGGACGGACTGAGAGCGGCCATAGCGGCTCCCTCCCCCCGCCCTGTTGATCCCGCCCGCCCAAGCCCTGCGCACAGCCATTTGCCGATCGCCTCAGGCAAAGGCTGGATTAGCGCCTCCCCAGAAGACAGAAGTTTTCCCACAGCTGATTTCCACAGCCAGTCGGCCTGGTGGTCAAATCCCTCTAGTGTTAACTACAACAATTAAGGCTTGGCTAGAACAAGACTGCGCACAGAGACCACAAGGGGGTGCACCAAGAAAGCATAAAAGATGCAGAGACAAAAAAACATGACAGAAATGGAGGATATGGAGCTAAGAATCGCAATTTTGAGGGCTTGCCATAAATTTGTGCAGAGCCTCACGAAAACTAATGAGACCCTCGATGCTACGATAAAGAAATTAGAAAGTAAGCATACACGGACTGAAATAAAGAATATTATACCCAATAGCAGACCAGAGGAGCTCAAGAATCAAACCAAAGATTCGACAAAAAACACCCAATTGGAAAAGCAAAATGAAAAAAGAATCCGAAAGTGTGAAGATAGTGTAAGGAGCCTCTGGGACAGCTTTAAGCGGACTAATATCAGAATTATTGGAGTGCCAGAAGATGAGAGACAGCAAGATATTGAAAACCTATTTCAAGAAATAATAGCAGAAAACTTCCCCCACCTGGAGAAAGAAATGGACTTACAGGTTCAAGAAGCGCAGAGAACCCCAAACAAAAGGAATCCAAAGAGGACCACACCAAGACACATCATCATTAAAATGCCAAGAGCAAAAGACAAAGAGAAAATCTTAAAAGCAGCAAGAGAAAGAGGCTCAATTACCTACAAGGGAATACCCATACGACTGTCAGCTGATTTCTCAACAGAAACTTTGCAGGCCAGAAGGGAATGGCAAGAAATATTCAAAGTGCTGAATACCAAGAACCTACAACCAAGATTACTTTATCCAGCAAAGCTATCATTCAGAATTGAAGGTCAGATAAAGAGCTTCACAGATAAGGAAAAGCTAAAGGAGTTCACCACCGCCAAACCAGTATTATATGAAATGCTGAAAGGTATCCTTTAAGAAGAGGAAGAAGAAGAAAAAGGTAAAGATACAAATTATGAACAACAAATATGCATCTATCAACAAATGAATCTAAGAATCAAGTGAATAAATAACCTGATGTACAGAATGAACTGGTGATTATAATAGAATCAGGGACATAGAAAGGGAATGGACTGACTATTCTTGGGGGGAAAAGGGGTGTGGGAGATGCGGGAAGTGACTGGACAAAAATCATGCACCTATGGATGAACACAGTGGGTGGGGAGTGAGGGTGGAGGGTGGGGTGGGAGCTGGAAGGAGGGGAGTTATGGGGGGGAAAAAGAGGAACAAATGTAATAATCTGAACAATAAAGATTTAATAAAAAAAAAAACTACTAGACCTAATAAATGAATTTGGCAATGTAGCAGGATACAAAATTAACACCCAGAAATCTATGGCCTTTTTATACACGTTCGATTTCCGGTCCAGGGTGTACCTTGGTTTTGGGCTCATCCCCAGTGGGGAGTGTTCAGGAGGCAGCTGATCAATGTTTCTCTCTCATCGATGTTTCTAACTCTCTATCCCTCTCTCCTCCTTTCTGTAAAAAAAAAAAAAATCAATAAAATATATATTTTTTTAAAAAGTAAGGATTTATTAAGGGATGGCACCAAACCCAGTCACAGATAGCTCATGCTCAAAGACCTGGCTTCCCCATGGCTTCCAGGGATGGACTATATAGGAAAAAATAATTCATCATGGTGACTAAAGGAGTTAGGGTGGTGGCTCTATTGATTGGTTGGTGCTAGGGTAGGGAGTAATTGATCATTGCATATGGTCCTGGTGTCAGCCATGGAGTTGCTCTGTCCAATTTCACAAGGATTTATTCTGTGGCATCATTCCGATTTCCTGGGTTCAGAGCTAAAACACAACTGAGGCCAAGATATTGTCTTTAGTTTGACTGAAACTCTGTCTCTGTAGTCAATAGACCCAGGTCCTTGTTTCTAAGACTACTGGAGGCTGACCGTAACCTCACTGTCCTGAAGGCTTAATGACTAAGCAAGGGAGAGGGAGGTGGGTGAGTCAGGGAGCTGGGTGAGGCCAGTTTGAGTCAAAGGGAAAAATCAAAATAAAAGGCCAGATTAAAGAAAATAAGATTTTTGTGCAATTACAAATTTAGCATCTCTCAACCCAGTTTTCTCTTCTATAAAGTGAGAATGATAACATTTTCTCCCTTCCTGAGTTGTTGGGGGATTATGTATTGCACTATTCCAGTGGTTCTCAACCTTGGCTGCACATGGGCTCAGAAATCAGGATTTTAAAAGATTCCCAGGTGATTCTAATGTGCAGCCAAGGTTGAGAACCACTGCACTATTCTGACTCTACTCAATAAAAAACAGCTGTCATTATTTTCTGTCCTCCTGTAGCACTTACCATGTGGTAAGAGACGTCTTCCCAGATGGGGCTCTCTCTCTCTCCTCAAGACGATGAGCTTGTTAGCAGCAAAGACATGGTCTTGTTCATCATTGTCCACCAGCATCCGGCACATGGTAGCCATTTGACAAATGCCTTGACTGGGTGACAAATACATAACCAAGTGAATCAGTTATTCACATAGTTCGTCACAGAATATTTTAAAATATGTCTTTTTTGTGTGTGTCTCTAGGGAGGAACAAAAGAGACCTAGAGTTGTGGCAAGAATAAGAAAAGAGGATGCCAACAACTTTTCTTATGAGACATAGCACCTTTCTATTGTGGATGGTGGAAGGGCATCAGGTGTTAGACGGGTGGGGTCAGGCAGGATCTGGGTTCAGCAATCTCCGTACTTGAGTTCTGGCTAGAAAAGAATTCAGACCCAAGACTCAAACTACAAGAGAACATTTATTTGGACAATCTCAGAGACAGAAGAAGTAATCTGTCAAAGAAATGGGTTTAGGAAACAAGTTATAGAGGTAAAGGAAGGGCCCTTGGAGCTTGGGAGTGAGGAAGGTAATAGTAAGGCACCCCCAAGAGTTCAGGGGGAGGGGGAAGAGAAAGCCTTAGGGGTGGGGTTCTCCTGGAAGGCAGAGTGCACTGGGTCCTAAGGGTTTTGAGGGTGGAGCTTTTAGGGGAGGTCCCAGGGGAAGATCGCAATAGAATGTTCAGCAGCTTTCCAGGTGTATCCTTTCAGGGTCTAGGTCTCCACTGATTGGTCAGTACCAGGGCACTGGGTCATTAGTCAATGCAGCTGGTCCTGAGGGCAGCCATGGGGTCACTTGTCTGGTTTTGCTGCTTTTCTGGGTCTGGAGCTGAAATACAGCTGAGGCCTAGATGTTATCTCTAGGGAGGAAAGGTCAGGGAGTCCAAACGGCATGGCCATCTATATGCTAGGGGAGAAAAGGTCACCCTTGGGACAAGGCCCCACCCTACAAGTGCCCTTTGCTAGTCACCCAGGGCTTTCCACCCTGGTGGCCTTCTGTACTTGGCCCATCGGCCTTGCTCTGCACGTCTCTCCAACTGCCTACCACATTTCTTGTTATTGCCCAGAAAAACTGGAGTAAAACTGGAGTGAGTCTGTGGTTAGATCTGTGCCCCTTCTCTTTACTTGACTGCAGTATGAACTCTAACATTTTTGCCATTTACAAAAAATTTCTATTGATAGGTTTTCTTGCTTTTTATTATTAATCATTATCATTACTACTACTACTACTACTACTACTACTAGAGGCTAGAGGCCTGGTGCACAAAATTTGTACACGGGTAGGGTCCCTAGGCCTGGCCTGCGATCAGGGCCACCTTCCTGCTGCCGACCAGGGCCTTCCTTCGTTCTGTGCCACCACCCCCTGGTGGTCAGATCACATCATAGTGAGCGATTGAACTCCCAAGGGGACACTTTGCATATTAGTCTTGTATGTACATAGATTATTAGAGAGGATGGGAGGGAGAGAGAGAAAAAAATAAAAACATCAGTGTGTGAGAAACATTGATCTGTTGCCTCCTGCACATGCCTGACTGGGGATCGAACTCAAAACCTGGGTATGTGCCCTGACCGGAATTGAACCCTCCACCTTTTGGTGCATGGGACCACGCTCCAACCAACTGAGCCACACTGGCCAGGGCCATTTTGGCCCCTTTGACTTTGTTTTCTGGGCACTAAGCTTCAGTCACTGTCACCAAGGAAACAGCAGCGATGCCTCCTTCCTCACAGCTCTGCACAGCTACACTCTGGTTGCCTTTGTCCACGGAGCTAGCTACATTCTTTGTGTGCACACCCCTAAGTCAACCGTCCTCTACACAGAACTTTGCCCATTATTTTACCTTTTAAAAAATATGTCCCAAAAAAGTAGATGTCTACGCATTTCTTCCTGGCAATGGCCTTTTCCCAGACCTGTCCGTAATCTTAAACGCACCAGGCATTTTTTGGTCCCTTAGGAGCAAATATAAAAATTGCCTGTTTAGCCTTTGTGGCATGGGCAATATAAGGGAGGGTCCACTTTAAAGCATGCAACATAGCATGCATAATGGGTTTCCCTTTTAAAAGCACGGTAGACCAAAAATAAACCTGAGAAAGGGCAGCTGTGGAGTTTGAACATGTGGAAAACTCCACGGGCGGCCGTTATGTAACAAGGAACATGCTAACTATTTCACACTTTTGGATGAACTTCCAACTCCGACACGTGAAAAGCTAAGGACACAAAACACACCTTAGCTCTCCGAGGAGCAAACGGCTCCCACTGAGCAGGGGCCAGAACTATTGCTCAAATCGGAGACCGGCCCTCCAGCACCACTCGATTGCTTTTTTACCCTCCTATCTTGATTGCTTTTTTTACCCTCCTATCTTATTGCTTTTTTTTAACCCTCGCGTCCCAGGCGGGGCAGGCGAACCCCATCTCCCCGGAGCGCCTCTTCGGCTGCTTCTCTCCATGCCAGAAATCTCCCAAGTCTCCCCACCTCTAGGCTGCAAACCCCAAAAGTTTTGCGGCAAGGAGGGCAAGAGAGGAGCCGGAGCCAGGCCGGCGTGGCCCACCCGCCCCGGGGCCCGCACCTCCCGCCCGGGCTCCCCGCCTGCGGGACAGCTGGCCGTCGGCGCAGGACCAGACACAAAGCCGATCAATCCCGGCGGCGGGGGTGGGGGCGACCCTCCGCCGCTTCCCTTCCGCTCCTCGCCTCCTCCCGCTCCCTCCTTCGGACCCGGCCGACACCTCCTCCGGCTTCCACGGCCCACCCCTCTCACCCCCCGCTGACCCCCCAAGAAAGAAAGGCCCAGACCCCCATCCCAGGGCTGGGGAAGACCGGCCAGGGGCAGCCAGCGCAGAGGGCGCCCCAGGCTGGGAGAAACTGACGTCGCATCTGCGTTGGCCCCTCCCTCCCATCCCCTCCCCTCCCCTCCCACGGCTCCGGGAGCCTCTCCTCTCCCGCCCCAGAAGTTCAGGGGTCCCCGCTCGGCCTCCCGCGCTCCGGCCGCCGGGACCCTCCGCCTCCGGGAGCAGCCACCTCGGTCCCCGCGAACATGGCGAGGAGGAGCCGCCGCTGCCTCCTGCTGCTGCTGCGCTACCTTGTGGTCGCCCTGGGCTGTGAGTGACTCGGGTGCCTGCACTCGCCCTCGAACCCTCCCGCCCGAGACGCGGCGCCGGTGCAGGGCGGTCTCCGACGCGGGGCGCTGGGGCGCCGCGGGGCATCGGACTGGGCACCCTGCGGGCCGGGAATCCGGGGTGCGGGCGGGCGCGGGGCGGGGGCCCGAGGACCTGGGCTTATCAGTAGCATCCGATGCAGTCCGTTCTCGTTAGAGAACCTGAGGGGTCCGCCCAGCCGGTTCTCTCCCCTCTGGCAAAGTTGGGGTTGAGTTTTCCAAGCCCCGGGGACGTGTTTGGAATGCAGAGCGCGGCAGCTACTTTGTAAGATGCTGGGATCCCAAGATGGCATCGCTCGCAGGCAGGCGCGGGCCACACCAAGGCTGGGAGGAGGGGGCCGTGAGAGCGTGTCCGGGGCTCCCGAGGGTCCCCGCCGTGCCGGGATGTGCGGGGCACGCGTGGGGCTGGGGTGAGGGGAGCTCCCGGCTGCTGCGCCCCAATTGCTTTTATCCTCTGCACCTGCACCTCTCCGTTCAGTGCGGGTCTGGGCTGGGGGCCCCGCCAGCTCTGCGCCCTCCAGGGGACGTCGGAGGGGACGGTTGTTAGAAAGAGGCCGAATGTCAAGGGGGGGGGGGGGGGGGGAGAAGGAGTCATATGTAATACTCTTTGTAATACTTTAAGCAATAAAAAGAAAGAAAGAGGCCGAGCGGGGCTGAAGGGTTGGTTGAGAGGCGGGTAGACGGGAGGGACGTGTTCCAAAGCCTCTTTCACGGGATGGTTCTAAACAGGATTTTCAAGGATTCGAGGTTCATGAGATTTTAAGTCCTGAGGACGTTTCCTATTTTGTTTTCTTCCCGTTAACTTTTTAGGAAAATGGAGGAAATGACACTAGATCTTAAGCACTTCAGCAATGAAGTCCTTTTTCTTTCGTATTTTTTTTTCCTTTTGGTCATTTTTCTTTCCTTTTCTTTTTCTTTTTTCTTTTTAAAAAATAGATTAAGTTATTATTGCTATCCAAGTTCTGGTAAGAGAATATTTAAAATAACCTGCCAGATGAGCGTCTAATACCATAATGCGATGACTTTTTCTCACGCTCTTATTGCCGAAGTGAGTATTGCTCAGCTGAGTGTGATGGGAGCTCTGGCCCTTAGAGAGGGAGAAGGTGCAGGTGGTCTCAGTAACCGGGCTCATGCTGATCTATATGATAGAAAATCACACGGGGAAGCCAAGCTTCACAATCAAACCAGGATATCATTTTGCAATATCAAGTGGTGTTACTTTGAAGACACAGAGAACAAAATGCACTAATGCTGAAAGGCAACGAAGAGTCAGGCTGGAGGAACTGTAACGAGGCTGCTGAGAAAGTTGTGTATCCGTGGACCATCCTAAATTTCAACTAAAACAGACTGTGACTTCAGTGTAGAATTGTCACCAGTTAACATCAGAGAAAACGGTTTCCGTGTGCTCTTCTTATTCAGTCATCAGAATAGAAAGGATACACCCCAAGTCTGCGATTGTAGCCAAGAAACAACCAACACAGGCTTGGGGATGAGCAGGGTTACCTCCTCCTCAAGCGCTGGGTAAATCTCACACTTCGGCCCCTTTAACCCTGATTCCTACAGGGAATGAATGTGGAGGTGTGTGGGGTCTTTTCTATTTTGTTCCTGGGACGCCCAAAGGCCTGACATTGCAAGAATGTCTTCTTTTCTTTGTCTTTTTAAAATACACTTTTAAAATTTATAACAATTTAGGTTTAAAGAGAAGTTGCTACGATAGTATAGAGAATTCCTATTATACGACACCCACTTTCCCCTATTGCTAACATTTTACATTAGTATGATACATTTGTCACAATTAATGAACCAATATTAATATATTAACTAAAGTGCACACCTATATTTCTTATAGTCTTACCTAATGCCTTTTTGTTGTTGTTCCGGGATTTCATCCAGGATACCACATTACATGCAATAGTCATGTCTCCTTGGGCTCCTCTTAGCTGTGACAGGCTCAGACTTCCCTTGTTTCTTATGTGAAGTATTTTGTAGAATGCCCCTCAATTGGTATTTCTCTGTTACTTTTCTTAGAACTAGACTTAATGGTTGGGGGAGTTTTTGGTGGTGTTGTTTTGGAGGAAGGTCGCAGATGTAAAGTGGCATTTTCATCATATTACCCTAAGGCAGTGGTTCTCAACCTTCTGGCCCTTTAAAACAGTTCCTCATGTTGTGACCCAACCATAAAATTATTTTTGTTGCTACTTCATAACTGTAATGTTGCTACTGTTATGAATCGCAATGTAAATATCTGATATGCAGGATGGTCTTAGGCGACCCCTGTGAAAGGGTCGTTCGACCACCAAAGGGGTTGCGACCCACAGGTTGAGAGCCACTGCCCTCAGGGTACATACAGGGTGTCCTCAAAAAATGTATACTCATCTTGAATAATTATTCATTCCATGGGTTAAATCTGAAAAAGAAAGAAACATCAATTGAGCTATCAAAAAACAAAGAAATGTGTGTATACATTTTTTGGGACACCCCATACTATGAATATGGCTTATCATTGTTATTGTTAACCTTCATCACCTAGATGAGGTAATATATATCAGGTTTGTCCACAGGTTATCTCTTTTTTTCCCTTTCACACTATTTTTTTTAAGGTAAGTCATTAGGTACAAATCCCACTTTAAGGAAGAAGAGTTGTGCTCCACATCCTTGAGGGTGGAGTATCTCCTAAATTATTGGAATTCTCCTTGGGAGATGTGTCTACCTCTCATTCATTTATTCATTCATTTTTTTATTCATTCATTTCTATATCAGTATGCACTCATGAACATTTATTTTATACTTTGGATTATAGTCCAATACTATTTTATTTATTTTAGTCCTCAGGTTATTTCAACTTTGGCATTGAGTTTTTTCAGTTGGTTCCTTATGTCCCTTTGACATATCTCCACACACACACACACACACACACACACACATGTTTTCAACATTACTTTTCTTTCTCGCATCACAAAGTGTTCCACACTGATCTTGTATATGTTCTGCTCTGGTCCCAGAATCAGCCATAACTCCAAAGAATCCCTGGTTTCTTTCATTGCCAAATGGTATTAGAAACCGAAATCTGGGCAGGAGGTATGTATACTCATTGCTAGTAGGGTGTTGTTGAAAAACAGGAATTTTTTCAGGGCTGTTTCGCTCTACAATCCTATTTGTGACCTGTCCACTCATGTCCAGATCCAGAAACAGTGTGTTGAAAGCTCCCATGTATATCAGACACTTTTCTAAGAACTTTCTTGTATATCTCTTTTTAAGGTCTCAACCAACTCATGAGAAGGAACGTATAACTTATATACATAGTGACCCCAAGGCTCAGGAAAGCTAAGTTGCTTGTCTAAGCCCACTTATCGAGGCTGGAAAGAGATAGAACTGGAATTTAAAGACCTGAGAATTTTTTTTATGGATAGCTGGACTTCTTATCTTTCTATCTGAGTACTTAACCCTTTTGCTTTCTTTATTCAAGAAAAGAGTGGAGTAGACTTAGTGGAATTAGTGGCTTTCTTATGTTCTAATTACATACTTATATTTTTAACATTCATCCAAATATAATTGTACCACTCTTCTGTCTCAATCTTATCATGTATAATACCATGCTTATTCATTTTTTATTTCTGTGTGTCTTCCTTTGTAGTCTGGACGATTATTTTTGTTCTTGCTGCTGTTATTTAAACTATGCTGTCAGTGTATCTGTTCATATATGGACATTTATCTGTGTTTTTAGTTGAATTATATTTTTATTTCTCACCAAAATGGAAGCTGCATAAGGTAGAGAATTTCTTGACGTTTGCTCACCACTGGAGGAGGTCCAGGGCTGAGCAAAGTGTCTGGTATAAATAAATGCGTGTTGATTTGGGGATGGGTTAGAGTGGGTGGAAGAAATGGGAGAAAATAATGATTATATTCTAAATCATGAAGCCCTAAGTAGGTGGGATGTCAGTTTTCTCTAAGGTGATATTTAAGCTGATACCTCAAAAAACAAAAGAAGTGAATGTTTAGTATGAGGGGTAGGAGGACGGGGGAGAAGATGTCCATGCATTCTGGTATCTTTCAAACCCAAGGAGTTGCATGTGAATGAGAGCAGTGTGCTTTTGTTGACTCTGCAGGGCTGGCAGTAGCTGGTCCTTCGATTGGACTGGAACCTAAGCCAGTCAACTTGGCCTGAATCATCTGTAATCTCTCAGCAGCTGATAAGGACTGTGGGGTGAGGGTGGGCGGGAGTCTGGCTCTTCTGACAATTACAAGGTTCCTCCTCTGTGGTGGAACTGACCCAAAATAGCAACTAGGAGAGTTCTGCCCCCTGTAAACATTGTTAAGAACAAAGCTTTATAGTGAATTTGCTGAAGAGAACTGGTTCCATCCTGCCATGGACATCTTATCTGATGAACATAAAGGTCAAACTGGGCTTGCTGGTAGACCCGATAACCATTTCCAGACAGCAACAGAAATGACCTTTTAAAAAAGTCAAGTCCTGGCCAGTGTGGCTCAGTTGGTTTGAATGTCATCCCGTGCACTGAAAGGTCACCAGTTCGATTCCCAGTCAGGGCACATACCCAGGTTGTGGGTTTGATCCCTGGTCTGGGTGTGTGTGGAGGCAACCAATTGCTGTTACTCTTTCACATCAATGTTTCTCTCTCCCTCCCTTCCCCTTCCTCTCTCTCTAAAATCAATAAAAACTTTTTTTTAAATGGCAAAACAAAAACATCAGCATAAATAGAACCTGGAGTTTCCTAAGGCTGAAAAGACTCATTATTCCTCCACATGAGTAGTTTAATGAGAGGAGCTCATGTGAATTTACATGTGCTTGCTCTACCCATGCTTTCCATCACTTTGGTTCTCTCCTGGGGATCTTTTGGGTGGAGAAGATGTTTTGGACCATAGACGCTAGGGGCAGCTTCTATTGTTGGCAAGCAGACGGGCAGAAAACAGTAAAGGCCATCATTT